TAACGTCGCTCTTGGATCCCGTAAAAAAACACATTTTGAAGCAGCCTCGAGCAAGCCCCTTCTGGCAAGTTTCGAGGGGTTTGAGGGATTTGAGGGGTTTGAAGGGCAGGCCCCGATGTCTAACGTCGCTCTTGGATCCCGTAAAAAAACACATTTTGAAGCAGCCTCGAGCAAGCCCCTTCTGGCAAGTTTCGAGGCTTTTGGGGGATTGGGGAATTTGAGGGGCTTGACGGGTTTGAAGGAACCCTCCACACCCTGAGCACTCGTACCTTCTCTCACGCGCTCCCCTTGCAGTCGCAAGGGGTCGGCGGATATATATATATATATATGTGTGTCTTTTGCAGGAGCCCAACCTTGTATGAAGTTCTCCTGCAAAGAAGATGCTGCCATCTGTGGGCAATTGCCGCCTTCATATCTCTCCTAAGCAATTTCATGTGTGAACCTCTTCCTGCATGTTTATGAGCGAGACTTCCTCTAGGACAGGTTGACCCTGCGCAAAAAAATATCCCGCCGGGACAATCCACCAAAAATAGGTGTCCACAATTGTCCACATATCTTTCCATGATGAAGGAATTCATGTTGGATAACCGTTGCCTCCTTCTGCAAAAGAATATCCTTCGTGTTTCTAAGCACATGCGTCCTTGAGTTATTAAGATCTGTCATTGGAGAGAGCCCGTTTTCAATTTCTGTGTCTTTTAAAGTAAAAAAATCAGTCTCAAAAGTCAAAGTTAAAAAAAGTCTAATCAGAAAGTGTCAGAAAGTCAAAAAACAGTCAATTTGCCCAGATCCGACTTTTTTGACTGTGTTTGTTTGGTTTTTGCAATGTTTGCCTTTTTTCAACTTGTTTTTTGACTTTTTCGAGTGGTTGACTTTATTTGATGTGTTTTTTTAGACTTTTTCGAGTTGTTTTGTAGTTTTGATGTTTTTGTTTAAACGTGTTTGCGACTTTTTTATTCGACTGTTTTGATGTTTTTTGACTTTTTCGCTCTTTCAACTTTTTTTTAAACGTGCTGTTTAGTTTTCAATTTGACTCGTTTTCCCGAATGCGTAGCGAAGGGTTCTCGTTTAACTCTGGGGGTTTGGGACGCGTTGTCTCAGCGTTCGCAACCGACCGCAACCGTCCGCGGTAGGGCGCTAAGGCGCTGCCATTGGGGGAAGCTTTTGGAGAGGGTTTCGGATGGAAACGTGACGTGTCAGATTCGCGTGGAAGAATGTAAGATGTTGAAGTGTGGAGGATGATTTCACTGCGCAGGCGCAGCGTTTTGTGAGATCCGCAGTTTTCTGCACAGCTCCATTGGAATTAGCGTTTGGAGAGTGGTGTTTTTGGGGTGTTGGATGTGGCCGTGCCATTGGGGTGTGCGTTTCAGGGCGTTGCATCGAAGCTCTGTTTTCGTGACAAGCCTCAGCTGAAGTGGCGATCTTGTTGGATGGGAGTGTGCTCAGGAACGGGCCGGAATCACTCCAAACATGTGGTGTGGTGCAAATTTTGTTGAAGCTCACACGATATGATATTGTCACTTTACGTGGCAGACGCAGTACCTTGTGCGGGCTTTGAGGTGTGGAAGCACGATTTTCGTGGCAGGCGCAGGGAATCGTGAAGTTGCGGGGTGTGACGGAGGTGGAGGTGACATTTCGTGGCAGGTGCAGTACTTTGTGCGCGACGTGGAAAGATTTCAGAGGCAAACGGAAAGAGCTTTGCAAAAGCCTATTCTACTAACATCGTGGAAGGCACGGAACATTCGTGGAACCCGGGGCTAGTCGTGGACGTTTCGTGGAATGGTGGGCCAATAGGAAAACTGATGCAACAAAATCCCAGAAACCTTCGTAGACCTTCGTAGAAGGTATTTTTGATGCACTTCGTATGAGCAACTTTGGCTCCACACACCCTCCGATGAGCCTTCAAGATTCGTGGCAGGCGCAGGGAATCGTGAGGTTGTGAGTTGTGGTAGAGGTGAACGTCGCCGTGACACTGGGATTGGCGTGTGAGCGGGTGTCGTTTGGAGGGGCTGGAATCGCGAAACTGCTCGGCACGGCTGCGTGATGTGTGTGCTCCGCTGGGTGTTTCCGCTTGACTTCTGGAGGAAGTCTCGTATGAAACGCGCGTTTTGCAGACTTTGACGTGTGAGTTTTTGAGGAAGTCTTGTACGAAACGCTCGCTTTGGAGACTTGACGTGTGACTTTTGGAGGAAGTCTCGTACGAAACGCTCGTCTTGCAGACTCGAAGCGTGACTTTTGGAGGAAGTCTGGTACAAAGCACTCGTTTTGCAGACTCGCAGCGTGACTCGAAGCCTCGCCTGTTGGGGAGCGCGAAACATGCTGGTGTAAACGCAGCGTGTCGCTGGTGAGCGGGATGATTGGCGGTATCATGTGATATATGATATATGTTTGCTTCTAGTGTGTGGCAGACCGTGCGGTGAAATTACGTTCGTGATGTCGCAGCGCCATGCGGATTTGCGCGGCCTTGGTGGAAATTGCGTTTGCGTGGCGCCATGACACTGGGGAGGGCGACGCATGCTGGTGTAAACGTGGCGTGTCGCTGGTGAGCGGGATGATTGGCGGTATATATCATGTGAAGTGATATATGTTTGCTTCTAGTGCGTGGCAGACCGTGCGGCGAAATTACGTTCGTGATGTCACACGCAGTGCCATGCGGATTTGCGCGGCCTTGGTGGAAAGTGCGTTTGCGCGGCGCCGTGACACTGGGGAGGGCGAAACACGCTGTTGTAAACGTCGCGCGTCGCTGGTGAGCGGGATGATTGGTGGTATCGTGTGATATATGTGCTTCTATAGTGTGTGGCGGACCGTGTGCCGAAATTACGTTCGTGATGTCGCAGCGTGGCCTTGGTGGAAAGTGCGTTTGCGTGGCGCGGTGTAAACGCGGCGTGCCGCTGGTGAGCGGGATGATTGGTGGTATCATGTGATATGTTTGCTTCTGTGGGCAGACCGTGGGGCGAAATTTCGTTCGTGCAGTGCCATGCGGATTTGC